ATTTTGGCCATGGCACCTTCCAATTTTTATCACACTGCTGACAACAATGTCCAGAAGTCTGCAGTGCAGTCTATCACATGTTGTGTTTAAATACTTTGCCCCTACTTATCAGATTAGTATAATAAGTGATCCCCCTGAGTTATTAATCTTAGTTGACCAGGTACAAGTCATTTGTGAGTGCTTGCTAACAGTAGCACAACCACAAACAAGTGATTGTGGAAGGGTGAAACCTTTGGCCCTGCTAGCACATATTTCAAACAGCATACATGTGTTATCATACCTTTTGTCATTTCATGCATAATGAGTGTAATAAAGAGAACCTTTATTACAACCTCTCATTATGTAATACTTAAACAGGCTAATTGGTTTGTGTTGTAGAGTTTACAGTATAATTAAAGATAGAACAGTTTTTTGTAGAGCGTCTTTCATTATCTGTCAATAGCAAAGGTTTTTCATTAAACAGAACATATATCATGAGCTTCAAGGACTTCTTCTATCTTTGAATATAAGAATCTTAAATCTATTTAAAACACATTTTCATGTCAAATACAAACATGATAAGTTTTAATTAATTTAAATGTGTACAGATTCGATTTTGTTTAAAAAAAGTTGTGTTAATATATTAAGAAATATGGCTTTAAAGCCAATTACAGTACTTTGCCATGAATTTGCCATTGTCAATATTTTAAAATGTTTTTGGTGATGGCAAAATGAAAGCTGATTGAAAAATGGCAGATTTACCCCAAAAAAACCTCACGAAATCGATAGTGTAGAGAGCCTAAGTTCTGGACAGACTGGTGAGCCACTTCGTATTAAAATAAAGTATAATATAAAAATTATGTGTCTCTCACACTGTGTCCCTAACCATTCAGTCTGACTTTCTGTGGAACGCATTATGCCCTTAGTCCTTGCTGAAATTCCGTTATTAAAGATTCCTTTTGTTTCTCCCTCTCACAGCTGGACCTGACATTCCACTTGTTTATTGTAGCTCTGGCGGGTGCTGGAGCAGCAGTCATCGCTATGGTGAGCACAGAAACTCTATTACCCTTTTCAGCTCAGGGCTTGAGCTCAGTCTTAGCCACGGTCGTGACACATGCTGATTGAACGAGCCGCGCCACGGATACTTCACTTTGCTCTGAAATCATAAAGGCGCAATAAAAATCAGTTACTGGGAGCAATTAAGATGACATTTTAATTATCCCCGTCGCAATAACAGTAAATCGTACCTTTAGTGGTTGCGATTGCATGTATGTTTTACAGAGATAGATTAAAATGCTGTATCAATAATTAGTCCAACATAAAGTGTAATTCATTGGAAGAATTATAATCCAGTTGATTGTAAAATACTGGAATCTTTGGCACAGGTGCAAACTGTGTTATCTACATTTCCTCCCTTGTTTAATAGCGGATTTATCTTTTTTCAGGTTTTGTACTTAGGTTTAATTTAATTTCTCACCAGGGGATATTTAAAAAGATTTATTCTTAATCAAATAGATTGTTAGCATCAAAATAAAAAATAGGGATATTTATCAGACTCGTGTACAGATAAGGTAAGATTTTTTCCAGATTTTATTTAGTAAAAATCATGTCGGTTTAGATAAAGGTTAACCCTGACACTGTATCATTACCACGATCCAAAATATTTGGAGAGTATATGCATTGTTGCTAATACAAAAAATATTCTGTATATGTTCATGTTTTTTTTTAAAGAATGTTTTTTTCTGGAAATACTCTGGTGCAGCAAAATAAAAAATACTCTGTAGATTTATTTTTACTCCTGAGAAGCGCTTAGCATTGGAAACGCACTGCACACGGTTGCCATAGAAACTGCATGAGGAAAGGGCTGGGGCTTGTTGAAAACAACACTTAGTAATCGCGAGGAGCCATGTTCCAAGCGGGAAAGAAAATGCTGCTGGTATTTAAGTGTGATTTTAAAAAAAATCTATATTCACATAATCTGCACAACAAAATCGATTAACACTTTTTAAAGGAAAACAATGGGTTTGGTGTGTGTGTGTGTAAAAGATTTAATTAATGGAATACGATGAAAATATGCTAAATAGGAATAATAAGAACAGGGTGAGGCCATCAGCCCATCTAGATCATTTAGTTACTAGTAGCTTTCCACCTGTTTCAGAATCTTTCATCAGTAAGTACATGAGAATTTTTGCAGCACATTATCTAAAAAGTAGTGTTAGAGCATTTGCAATTAGGCAAGCATTTTAATCCAGTGCGCCACCGAATCCCAGATTGACTATAAATAAAACAAGAAAAGTCTAGGCACAGGTTTAATTATGTGATGTGTAGCTAGAGAATATCAGATATTTATGAGGTGCCATTTAAGCCATCATCAGACTTTACCTCTTATACACACAAATTGCTCTCACATACTGTACATACAAAAAGCTCTCATATTCACTCGTTTTACCACTCACATACACATAAAACACTCTCACATCCACTAGTTTTACCCCACACATACACATACAAAAAGCACTCACATTCACTAGTTTTACCTCTTACATACACATAAAACACTGTCACATTCACTAGTTTTACCTCACACAAACACCTAAAACACTCTCACATTCACTAGTTTTACCTCTCACACACATACAAAAAGCACTCACATTCACTAGTTTTACCTCACACATACACATACTGTAAAACACTCACATTCACTAGTTTTACCTCTCACATACACATACAGAAAACACTCACATTCACTAGTTTTACCTCACACATACACATACAAAAAGCACTCACATTCACTAGTTTTACCTCACACATACACATACTGTAAAACACTCACATCCACTAGTTTTACCTCTTACATACACATAAAACACTCTCACATTAACTAGTTTTACCTCACACATACACATACAAAAAGTCCTCACATTCACTAGTTTTACCTCACACATACACATACAAAAAGTCCTCACATCCACTAGTTTTACCTCTTACATACACATAAAACACTTTCACATTCACTAGTTTTACCTCACACATACACATAAAACACTCTCCCATTCACTAGTTTTACCTCACACATACACATAAAACACTCTCCCATCCACTAGTTTTACCTCGCACGTACACACAATGTGATTGGCTGAGCACATTTATCAACACGCTTTCTCATTTTCTGCTGCCCTCCAAGGTGGAGGAAAGAAATCAGCCTCAACCACAACAAGCACTAAGCCAAGCCATAGCTTTATTTATTAACATCTTAGCCACACCAGAAGCGATAGATTCATTGTCATCGGCTACGAAGCCCGCTATGGGTGTTTTTCCCTCAACGCAGCATGCACAGGGCTGGTGCTAGGGGAAAAATCTGTAGGGGGCGTCTGCAATTCTGAGGGGGGCGGCGATATTTCGTTTGAAACGGAGCCGTTGCAACTACCCAAGTTAAATCTCGCAACCATGCTCCATGATAGAAGATAACGACGAGCAACCTGGTATTTGGTGATGAAGTACAGTTTCATGTTCATCTGCACTCTCACGATTATTATTGCCTGGAGCGACAAAATACCTTCGGCTTTCATTTTTGCAGCTACATCGACGGTAACGGGGTTCTGAATGGTCAAGAAAAAAAATGTTGTAAAACCAACAGAAAGCACAAACTTCTATAACTACAGTCCTAGTTGTATAACGATTGTTAAGTATAAGGATAAACTACTGCAAGGAACCAGTCTACCTGAGCAAACAAGATCGTAATAATGTCGACACCCACTAACGCAGACACTGTAATATGTGCCGTTCCTGGACGGATAGCCCTCCTGCACACCAAACAGTCCGATGTAGTAACTGTGAATTCGGGGTTAGTGTAGTTATCTGACCATTGAACAAAATACAACTGTTTTTTAGGGCGCAAGTTAAGTGAGTGAAAGTGTTCAAAAATCCTTTTGTCCAACACTGAGGGGGCGGGACAGTACAGTTGAGGTGGCGACGCCCCCTTTTGCCCAACAACCCCCCACCCCGCCGCTGGGTCTGCGCATGCAAGTACGGAAGCCGAAATAAGAACTTTATTTCGACCTAATGACGGTGGTGCCAAAGCTGGGACGGGAGACGATACGAAACCCAAAGAAATTACGTCGAAATGAAGTACTTAGTTGGCTTAGTGCTTGTTGTGATTGAGGTCGATTTCTTTCCTCCAACTTGGAGCACAGCAGAAAATGAGAAAGCTTGTTGATACATTTTCTCAGCCAATCAAATTGTGCCATTTGGACGGACCGCCTACATTGGCCCATAATTCACCTCTTACACTCTCCATTTTTCCTCATATACACACACAAAATGCTCTCACATTCATTAGTTTTACCTCTCACATGCACACAAAAAGAACTCACATTCACTAGTTTTGTCTCTGACGTTCACATTGTTTTATGTGTATGCGAGAGGTAAAATGGAGAGTGTGAGAGCATTTTATGTGTATGTGAGAGGTAAAATGGAGAGGGTGAGAGCAATTTGAGCGTTTATGAGAGATAAAGTTTGAATAATGGCCGAAACGGCACCTCATAAATATTTGTAGATAGTAAAGTATCATGAAAAGGAACAATAATTCTTCCTGTCCAAAAAAGCTCACATGAGCTCAATAAAGTGTTGAAAAATAAAAAAGCATGCATGTGGGTGTGTTATATTTTGATATGTCATTATATTAATATTTATTATTTCTAAGAAATAAACACATTTTTTGGCCTTTGTTTAGCTCAAGCAGAAAATAAAGTTTGTTTACAGTGATAAACTAATATTAAACAGATATTCATTCATTATAGGGGAAGTTCCTGCTGGCAGGGCACAAAAGACTCTACCGCTGAAGGAGGTTTTTTAGAGTTAAACACGCAGTAAAACAAAAGAAGTACTGATGTCATATATTTAAACATTTAAACAGATAAAAGATATACAGTACAAGACAACCTGATTGTTTTCTGTCCTTGAGTATTCAATTACTGTATTGTGTAAAATGTCTGGTTTGCAGTATCCAAGTAAACAGCATTCTGCAGTGGACTAATTTTGAGTTTTTTAAGCATTTAAACAAGGTTCCCTGTGCACACACAAAATGTTCAATTTTTTTCTGGAATTTTTGTGAAAGTCACATTGGTGCAGATAGTATTGAAATGTGCTTCTGTTCATCTGATTGATCATCATAGACCGAATTAAACCAGATTATTTTTAAGTACATTTTAAGTCCTAGGTCTGATACTATATACTGTATAGTGGAAAAACTGACCAACTCCAAACATCACATTATATAATGCTAGGTTTATTCTTCTGGTTTCGTCTTTGAGATAATTTCATCATAAATGAAAACAGGTTACTGAATACAAAGTTAAGACCTCATGCTGGATTAAGCGGCACCTGCAAATCAGGTTCTTCAATGCCTGTCATGAATAGCATCCAAGCACATGATAAATCCTGGCCACAAGGAGATTACTTCATTCAGTCTGTCAACAGCAATTGGCTGGCAGTGGGCTTTGACATCCAGTATCCCACCGGAGCTCAATTGGTTTAAATGCTTTGAAGCAGCATCCAGGCATGGTATTATCCCCAGGCTAAGGAAAAAAATTCCTTTCAGTGTTGGGATGAAAATTACTGATGAACATATTTGATTATATCAGGTTTTCTATAACCAGGTTATAACTGTATACTATATATAATGGGCTAGAGGTACAGCAAAGGTCTCAAAATGTCAGCTTTAACATTGTGCAGTAAGGTAACCATGGATAACAGTGAGGTAGATTCACTAAAGTTGATTTTAGTGTTTCCCACAAGTTTTTTTGCTGCACTCAAACACTCCTGACAAAGAATTTCCTTTCTTCTGAATTTATATCTTCCATCACAGGGACCAAGATCTGTAATTCTGCAGAAAACACAAGCTTATTCATGCAAATGTGTACATTGTAGTTATACAGGATGGTGCACTAAGTCATCTTACCATTGTACAGACTTCATTGGATGCGAGCAGATATGAGTCATTTTGGTTAATGTAAATTAATGTATCTTTTGTCTTTTGACACAAATTTGTTTAAGCTTTCTGTGTTTATAAGTGATCCCTCAGGTAGTCTCTTCTGTGGATTACCAGTGATGGTGTCAGTTGTTAGTGCTTCTAAGAATGGTTCCTAGATGCTATAGCATATTCGTATTCAAAATCACATATTTCTTATATGTTATCACACTCATTATTGTTACTAATCAGCAGGTGATAAGGAATACACAGGGAATTTGTGCTGTGACATTTTCTACTTAAAACTCTTAGTCTTTTATTGTAGCACAGCATTAGTCCTTAGCTCTGAATATATTGTTTAATTTCTAAAGTCTGATATACATGGTAAAATTCCTCAATACATACAGTATAATGTACAATACATGTAAAGAAATGTATCAATTAATGATAAATGATTTACCTAAAACATGATTGAAATATTTAACTTAATTGAGAGACATTATTATTGTTGTTGTTATTTGAAATTAATAAATAATGAGAGAAAATGTTGCTTTTATTTGGTATTGACAATAATATCATAAACTCAAAAGGTAGAATATTAAAATACTGAATTTATTACTTATAAAAACTTCACTTTCTTTCAATTATCCCAGCCATGGCTGGTCAAAAGCACAGGGGAAAGAGATCTGCACAGGGTCAGCAGTGTGAAACAGTGTCTTAGATGCTACCCAGCTGTATAAATACTGTAGGTACTGTATACATTTAAATTGCTCTGGATAAAAGCATCAGCTAAATAAGTGTGTTAGATACTGGGCCTTAGTAACCTCAAGACCCCAGTCTTTACGTGTAGCGAAAGATTCTCTAGGACTAGACGTACAGCCACAGTGGATTTTATGAAAGCCCCTGGTGAGAAGTGTTGACACCTAAGCAGAAGACATGAGTAGTGGGTGCACAGCATGCAGGGCCAATCGGTTCGGCGAGCTGTCTTGGGAGATCAAACCCTAGTGTTGTACCGCGCGCAATACTGACCCCTGGTGTTTGTTCTGTGAAACACAATTGCTTTCCGAAAGATCTTTTTTTTTTATCGTGTCTAGCAGTCTCGGATGTCAGTTCCAATTATTGGTGTTGGAAAGTGTCCCTCTGAGCCCTTATCAGCCGAAATAGATTTTCCATTTTTTAAAGCACCTGTGGACAATTCACTTAGCAGGGAAAAAATATGATTATTCTTCAGCGACGGGCAATAAAATAATCTTCCTTTAAACTTCAGATCATACCAGATAGAGTGTACTGTATATCTCATATTTGTTTCATAAACAAATCTAATTTAATCATACATGTAGTGTAGGATTTGATTAGTTGTGAAATGACTATATTCCACTTCCCAACACTCCCCCTTGTGGCCAAAAATACACCACAGGTTGTGTAATACACTACCATTCATTCAAATTGCATTCAAAGCAATTCTTATTTTTCCTACAAAGACACGCAAATCTCATACCTGCAATCGAGCATTTTTCATTTCAGTTACAGGATTCTCACGTGCTTGTTAAAAATAAGGAACAGCGAATGCATCAACCTTATTGCAATCCCTTGTTACTGAAAAAGAAGGGTCTGTGTCGATTATATTTTCCCTCAAGGAATCCTGAGTAATTAATTTTATTTTATAACAAAGTGCAGGGGAAACATGACTGTAGGAGAAATGCAATCAGTGAGTTGCAACATAGTGCAACTAGCATGCTGGACTTGGCAAACAGCACTTACAGTACTAATGTAAATCACAGTCCTGTTAGTTACAGTAGCAGTTCATAAAAGCAGAATCCAGAAGGGGAATAAAGGGGCTCCAGTTTGTGCTTTATAGTTTAGAGGGGAGGGATGTTTAGGACGGTCCAATTATCTGTGGGTGAGATTTTTGCAGCAATAATAACAGCTGATCTCTCAAAATGGGCGATTTGACTTCAAAACCAAATATTTGTTTTAACCAAGTAATTAAGATCAGAGCTGGGGTGTATACCAGAAGACCATGTGTCCCTCAAGGACTGGAGTTAGGCATTTTACAGTGATTGCCTACAATAATAATTGTTTATTATATTGAGAGTTAGTTTTAAGGTTTTGCCATTAATAAGGGACATACATAAGAATATGAAAAAGGTTACAAACAAAAGGAGGCTGTTTGGCCCATTCAGCTTGTTTGGTACTGTAGCTAGTGTCTACTCAATCCAAGGATCTCATTGAGCCCTTTCTTCAAAAGAGCTAGTGGATCAGCTCCAACAACATGGCTTGGCACCTTTTCCATACTTCAGCTACATGAACAATACTGTATTTTAAATGTACTGTACTGTCAACCATCATTACCTCGAGTTGCTGAATTAAATGTCAATCGCTGTTGAATTACCCATTTAAATGGGCTGCAAGATGTTGATCTTTTGAAAAATATATTAGAGCAAGACGCGTGAAGGTATCTCAATTCCATATATTAATCATTTTCTTCTCTTCTATCATTATCTCTCACTGTTGAAACAGGTCATGAGTGTTTCACTTCTGATCCGTAACTTTGTAACAGTGAAGTTTCACAGTCTTGGAAAATACTGCACAAAGTTCTAATGGAAACGTCGCCATTTGAATGTCAAGAGCTGCCAAGAAGATTTGCCCAGGCTTTCACAATGTCCCCTTAAGGAATATGGGAATAGTATAGAGTTTTGAATATTATCAAAGTGACATGATTCTATTAACTATGAAGCTTCCTTTGCTACTGTGCGACTCACTACAAAGTTGTTCTAGTCTCTGTCGTATTATGAAACTGACCTCTATGCTGATACCCTGACAGTTAATGTACTAAAATGTGTAATGTAATAACAAATTGCTTTTCTTTTTTTTTATTTTACAGCAACAGATACAGTTCATAACCTGCTTTGCCCCCCCGTGTTAACCTACAGTTTTTGTATTTTATTTAAAGCTCCTAATTAATATTAAAAGATATGTTTTAGTGTTTTTAATGCAATAAAGTGTGCTTCCATGTTGGCGCGCTACTAATTCTCCTTAATACTTGTCTCTTGCAGGTGCATTACCTAATGGTTCTGTCTGCCAATTGGGCATATGTGAAAGATGCATGCAGAATGCAAAAATATGAGGATATCAAATCCAAGGAGGAGCAGGAGCTTCATGACATCCACTCGACCCGCTCGAAAGAGCGGCTCAATGCATACACATAAAACACACACTGGCTCTTCACTTTCTGCTTTGTTTCCGTTCAGGGGTTGGGCTCGGTTACCTTTCCTAAGCTTACGGGTTTGTCGCTTGAAGGTAGTCAGGGACCACACACTGCGCCCTAACTGCGTTTTCTGCTGACATTCCTTTACCTCTTTCTGGGACTGATTTTTTTTTTTCATTTTTATTATTGCTTTCAGATCCAGTTCACCTTAGTCTTTAATTCAGTGACCTGCTATCCTGATTGCTTTGATTTGCTTTTGCCATTTAACCCTTAATGTCATTTAGAATTCCTGCCAGTATTTATTTATGTCCATTTTGGAGTGGGAGGGTAGGGCGGAAGGGTTTCTATTATTTTTTTTGTTTTCCACCTTCTACAAATTTGTAAGTTTTTAATGATACTCATTTTACAGGGCTCTGGTCACAAATGGGTTGTCACTTTTTTAACGACTGAACCAAACTTTTACCAGGTTTTGTATAATTTGCAGTTGAATTACATAAGCTTCCAAGTGTTTAATACCAACAGTATAAAGACTATGTACAGATTCTTTTCCAGTAAATTCTGTATTGGTTGGGAGTGTTAGTGATAAAAAAGTATATCTTAATTTAACAGTATGTCATACTGTAGGTTGGTTGAATTGTAAGAAACACTGGCTTTTCATTTACTGGCTTTGCCAACCCCTTTTGAAAACATAACATCAATGTCAAATTAAATATTTCTGTAATTTTAAAGGGACTGGTCATCTAAGTGAAAATTTGTCACAAAGATGATACTGATTAAGTACTACGTTAATAGTGAGAACAGCAGAAGTTTGGATCATTTTTGATTGATCAACCTTTTTAGGAATTGCCTTGGGCAGACTCTGTACATTCTTGCATCTTTGTTCATTGCAAGCCATATTTTCACATGCAAATAACCTTTTTATGATCTTTTTGTTTTAAGCAAGTGTTTTTAAATGCAGTTAGCCAGATAAAGCAGTTCATATAATTTTTTTTTCTTTCTTCAGTATTCTGCACTGTATATATAAATGTATAGGTTAAACACTTCCATTTCAGGTCATTCAAATAGGAGTTTAAGAAAACACATCTCAGTGGTTTTAGGTTTGGGTGATATTTCTAAGAAAGCCATTGCTAGTTAAAATGTATCAGTTTTGAAGTTTGACTATATGCAGGTGAGAAACAGGTGAATTACATACTGTAGTTACACCTGTGGTGTTGGAACTACAGAGTGAAAAAGTGAATATCACATTTTGCAAGGTATTGACAGCTATCTGTTAAACAATTTACTAGAAGACATTAAATGTCACTAATAAAATGTAATCCTTAACTATGGACCAAACTTGATGTTTTGGATCTGTCTTGCCTACATATACTGCTATAGGTTTGCAGTACAGTGTTTCATAATTTTGTAGCCTGACAATACTTGTTTTGTCAGTGTTTCAAAAGCTAGTTTTGTGCACTTATTGAACCATTGTGAGCTCTTTCTTGGTGTAAGTGCATTTCTATTAAAACCAGAGTTAAATCTCTGTACTGTTACTAGTCATGCGACATTGGTTTCTAACAAATATTGTATTAGGTAAAGACCGTGAATATAGTTGTTATTTGTGGCATGGTTATGCATTAAATGGTAATAGTTTTACTAATTCAAAAGTATATTTCTTTTTTTACACTTAGACTGTCTTGCTGGGTCAACTGTTTTATGATATGTGCAGTATTACAGTTCCTACGCTAACAGCATTATGCTAAATCTCTTTCTGATATTAGGTTGTAGTGTTTGATTTGTGTCTTTATATAGTTTGTGATGATTTCTGAACCATGTCTTAAATTGATACTTGTAATGATGTTATGTATTCCGTATTAACCTGATGATGCTTTGGGCTTTCTCCTTGTATTAGTCTTTTGTACTTTCACAAAGAATGCTTTGTAGCAGGCTGTAAAATTAATCTGTTTTGTACATAAATGTGCCAACAGCTTGACGGTGGCTTTTTTGAATTGTAGGAACAAATTGCTTGCATAAATAAAATGCACTTGTGTACTTGTTATTAATTAATATGACTTCTGTCCTTCTTTCTTCATGCTGTCTATGAAAGAATTATGAACGTCAATTCATTTTATTATTTTATTTTGGTGAAATAGTGAAAAAGATTAATAAGGTTAGATAAATTAAGTGTGAAGGAAGCCTTACGTATTGTGGAGGCTGCAAAAAACAATTATCCTAGTTAAACAGAAAATATAGTAAGAAGTACCTGTATGAAGATCTGTATGCCAATTCCACATGGGAAAAATCCCCTCACTACCAATACTGTGACACAGCTTTGTTATTATTCTTTACTCTGCAATATTGAATGGTTATTTAGTGGTTATAATAATGATGGTTCTGAAAAGCAAACATTTAATAAGAATTAATCTGTTAATATATTCCTACTGTAGCTTGCATATGGCTGCAATTACCCATTTATACACCATCTCCAGATGTGAGTTAACCACACTTTTACTGGTGGCTGACAACATTGATGCATTCTGGAGACAGCTGACTATTGCAGTACCCTAAACTCAAAGATGAATGATTTAGCAATGCATTTCCTGTCTAAGTGGAAAGGACCCCTCATTCTGCCATGTTGTGAAGTCTATAACTCAACTGCATCGTTCACTTTTTTCATGTTAATTGAAATGCTTAAAGAATGTTTCACAATTGGACTTCAAATGCCGAGCATACTAACTATACTACATGTATATTTCAATTTTACCCTATGAATACTTGCACACCTTGCTTTTTACAGTATTTTATTTTACATTAGCTCTGTATATACTGAACAAGGTTTAAAGTTTTGAACCGGACTGAAAAGAAGCAAGAAACAAGATGCTCTTTTCAGCTCAAGATGAAAAAGAAACAATCCTGTCTGAACAGCTGAAGAATAAAATGTTTTAGGCAAGCCAAAACCATCAAATTTTACTGATGTTCGCATTTTTATTGCTATTACATATTTAAATAGTCTTCTCATTTAAATAAGAGATTAAGATTAAAAGGTTATCCAAATAAAGACAGGCCAGAAGACTACTATAAACTACTGTACGTCATCTGTGTTGACCTTCGCGGACTGATGCATTCCAAGTTACATATATTATATATATATATCCAAGGAGGAACATACATTTCTCCTGAGCTTAAGGTCATGACCACTGGACATACAGTAGATAAATCAGATAAGAAGACAATATGAGACAGAGCCTCTTGTGTTGACTTAAACTGGAGTAGTCGGCTTTATCGTTATTATAATATGAAAACTTAATTTCATATTAAAGATCATAGGAGAAGAGCTCCTTGCATTCAAAAGTCACAGGAGTGGTGTCAAAGTTGTATATTTGAAGTGGTTCACCTTTGAAGAAAAATATTTTTCACATTCAGACCTTTTTTCCAGAAGGGAGGTGCTCTCTTGCACAGACTTTGCCAGTTCACCGTTGGCAATGATTTTTAAGTCATGGTGTTATTCCCTCACGTTCATCCTTAAAATGTGTATTTTTCCATAAAAACATGTAACAGTCACTGTAATTCGCTTAATAATGCTAGTATTTTCTAAAATTAGGAAGTAGCCCGATAATACAAAACTGCTGTTATAACAAGCTGCTCTTTAACACGTGGTAGAGAAGGAAAAAATGAACTTGCTCTGATATTGTGCGGTTTATGCCAAAGATCCTACAATGCTTCTCAAGAAAATATCAGGTCAATGAACAATCCTACATTGTAAGTACAGGGTGTGGGGCAGGAAACTTTAATACAGAGGAATTAAGAAACGGTCAGATTTTCTATCCTGATACGGATCTGGCCATATCTTAAATGTCACACATTCAGGACCCGTGTGAGGTCCATTATGGGAATCTTAGTTTAAAGGCTCCTGTGAGAGAGAGCAACTGTTACCTCACTGGTGTTGGTGTACTGGTTTGGAATTTCTGAGGTAGAAGTGACTCCTTCTACTCCATGAATTTGGTTTGATGAGCTTGATGGGAATAATGAAAAAAACAATTGCCTTTTCAAACATCTTCAGCGTCTTCAAGTTTTCTCCGGGAGATCTTTTGATCCAGATGTATCTTGTGTTGTTTTTTTTTTCGAATACATTGTTTTTTCACATCAATAGTTTATATTTAACAGTGATCAGTATTGTTTATGTTATGCAGTGAGTCGGCATAAGATGATTAACTAGTACCAGTTTTTACCCACCAGTTTGCTTTGTTTGTAATGAAATGTACATACAGTACCTGTTCAGTACAGGCAACGCTGAATATCGTTACTGGCCAAAAATATATGAATTGAACAGCAGTACTAAAATACTCTTTGGATATCTTCGTTAAGTTATTTCCCCATAAGAATGAATACATACAGTACGTACATCTTTGTAGCTATACTGTACATACTGTATAATACAAAAAATGAACACATGATGGCACTGTAATGCTATCCACACAGTTTGTACAGTATTTCATAAGCCAGCTATAGAAATGTCTGCAGAGTACAGCTAACATTAAACTTACAACCTTGTGACTTTGGACATTGACTTTACTTTATTATGCTCCTATCTCAAATATCAGGCAGAATAAATCTCAAAGAATGAAGTCTGATATTAAATTAATAATCTTAAATGTCAAGATTGTCTGCCGAGTATCATAGCCCACAGTACAGAAATGTCAAATGTAATGGATCTCTTAGAATTGCAGAAGGTTTACAAGAGGCACTGCTCACAAAATGAAAAGACCTTGACATCTGTTTGCAGCAGATGTCTTGGGTTATTTCTAACATTTTGGTGTGTAACTTTACAATGTACTGTACAGTACAATGTGTTTCCCAGTGCCACACTGTCTGTCAGTATTTGCTTAAAATCTGACAAAACGAGATTACTGCAAAATTTTCATTTCCACACAGAATTTCATATCATGCTCCTCATTGAAATCATTCAACCAACCAATTAGGTAAATTATTGTATGCAGACTAATTACGGTTAAACTGACATCAAAAAGAGACTTCAAATCAGCAATTCTCTGTATATAGAAAGCAAAAAGTATCATCTACATAATTATAAATATTTGTAATAATATAAGAATTCAAAAATTACAAATGTTATATTATATTAATACTATAACTTTTCCGTCTTTCGGATGAGACGAAAACTAGGTAATTGTTCAGTTTTGGACTCTCTGCTGAATGTATTTTTTAAAGGAAAAAATAAAATAATTATTTCCAAAAATGAAAAAAAATTAAAATGACACCACTTTGCTGTTAGTAATGCTCTTCGTCTTTCTCCCCATTTGGCTTCACTGTTCCCTCTGTGTATCTCGCATCTATCAACCACTGAACCTCAAGAAACATACCTTTAAATATTAATGTTAAATTTTCCTCAAATGAATGACAATTAGTTCAAAATGGACCTATAGATGTGGATACAGGTAAGAGCAAATACCATAAAATTACAATAAAAGTACAATGGAACCATTAGAATTAAAATAAAGGAAATTGCAATGCATGTACTGTACGCTATTTGCATATGAAGGAACACACAAAAAAACAATCAATCCACGAATGAAGTAGTATGCACCATAACAATTACAAGCATAAACAAGCAATGTACTGTATGTAAATTAGTAATGGCAACACTCTGACAAAATGTGTTCCATGTTGCCAGATAAAGAGGACTACAGTACATCTAAATGACTAAATTCATCATTAAATCTACAGTATGCAGTGAGAATAGAATTACCACCTTCTAGTCTGATCCTGTCAGTTCTTAGAAGCTACGCAGGACTGGGCCTAGTCAGTACTGGGATTGGAGATATCTGGAAATCCAAGTGGCTGCTGTCAGTGGTGTTAACCACTTGGAGGGACTCTTGACTCTGGACTAGAAATTCAAACCTTGTGAACTTTTATAATGACAGGCGTTATTTGGGGGATGAGATGTTAAGTTGATGCCAATGGTAATGGATTGTTAAAGATCCCATGACACTATTCACAAGAGTATGGGTGTTACACAAAGTGTCCTGGCTAAACAATACTCTGGGCTTGTACAATCTGGACTAGAAATTCAAACCTTGTGACTTTTATAATGACAGGCGTTATCTGGGGGATGAGATGTTAAGTTGATGCCAATGGTAATGGATTGTTAAAGATCCCATGACACTATTCACAAGATGTATGGGTGTTACACAAAGTGTCCTGGCTAAACAATACTCTGGGCTTGTACAATCTGGCCTACAGTACCTAAATTCCTCTCTTAGTTCAACTGGTGAAACAACTTCTCACTTCTCCACCCAATGTGTTGTGTAGTGATATGCTGGTGCAGACTACAGTAGCTGCTACGCATTACCCAGGTGGGTGCTGCACTTCAGTGGTGGATGAAGTAGATCTCCTCAAACAAATAAAACAGCATTGAAATATTTTGGTATGAAGACGACTATACAGTACAGATGCAAGGAATTGTTTTCGATGTTGTTGGCGGTGTTGATGTTAGTGTACAGTAATTCAACGTATCAGTTACTGAACGTAACAGTTACTCCAGGATATAGTTGAGCGGTGAGAGGCTACAGGCTTTAGCTGAACAGATATGTGTTGCAGAGGTACAGGATGTTAGTCAGGAACCGATTAGGTGTGATTTTGGTGGGTAGCTTATTCCACCACTAAGTAGTGAGAATTACTGAGCTCTGGAAGTAGAAGTACAATGACTGGCAGAGAGGAGAGGGCTACAGAGGTTATAGTATGAGTGACTGAAACAGAATATTGCAGGACAGTTTTTAAGAAACAGGTGAATTATGTTAATTTCAAGAAACTACAAAAGTATGCCATAGAGGAAATGTGCTATAGACGAGAGGGGTACAGTAACGCATGATAATTACTGATGTTAATTAAGGTTTATCTCAGTTATCCCTATAGTTCTTTAACATCAACAACATAAATGAAATCATATGGGTAATTTCCATTTTAATATTATAGTGGATATTTCTCTGTAATTTTTCTTACTTGCTCATTGATAACTGATCGAGACACTGACTGACTAAATCTCTAATTTAGTAAGAGCTGATTGGGTGGAGATAATTAGGTGGTTTGACCTTTTTGAAAGTCAAGCCTGGCGAAAACCAAAAAAGAAACAGATAAAAATGCAATAAGGCATACTTCGCAGGAGGACACATTTATGCCATTGGTATGTTGGAGGTATGTCTGGGTAGGTGGACTCACCAGCCGTGCCGCCGGGTTCTCTTAAGCAGTGAATCAAGATTTTGTGTAGACCACCCTGCATGCAGAATGACATGGTAATTGTTGTGTAAAACATCCCAATGAATGGGGAGGCCAACTGTGCTTTTCCTGGGAGGAGTGTCTAGACGCTACAGCAACCTGACTGCATGCTGCTACAATGATCAAGTCCTTGGATTGGACTCGCTGCCCTTCCTGTGACCTCTTCCTTACAGGAGAAAGTTCCAGCTTTACAATGCACCATCCTCGTGCCACTCATGGAACAGAACCATTCTTCAGAGATGGGAATGTGAAAGATAGAATTGTGGATGCCCTCCACACTACATTCGAAATCCACTGAACATTGATGGGATGAGCCACAGTGTGTTTTTTTCTAGGCTAGCATGAGTCATAGATGTACTCCTTGACTTGCTTTTAGTGGTGCCCACACACGCTGCTTGTCCAGAACTTTCACAGTGCAGCCTCTGTTAATCAGCCCTCTTGCTAACAAATGTTAGTCAACAGAATTAATTTACTTCATGTTCATCATCTATTCAATAAAATGTCGGTGAGCCTCCTACAAAAAGGTTTTGCCATTTTCCTGACAAAAACCTTGTGAATTTGCTGCTTTTATAAGTGACAAGTTTCTTTTGATGCTCAGTATGTACAGTACGTATTGGTGTCTTTCATGTACTGTAGTTTCATATTTGCTTCTGTTAGTAGAAACCTTTTGACAGTGTTTGAATACAAAATCACACAATAAATGTGACAGGATGACATTTATTTATTCTTATATTGCCTTTTTTACTCAAAAAACATTTGAACAAAAAATGCGTTCTATTGAAATGAAATGATGATGATTCTAGTTAATAGATGCATTATTTCCTATTCCATGGTTTTGACATAGTGTGATTAAGAGAGAAAAAAAACTGTCATCGCAGTTAAACCATCCGGCAAGACAGCTTTACATCTAAACTTTAGTCCACAAAGCAAACAACAGCCCCATTAAAACATGTCCTTCATATCTATCAGCTAGTCTCAGAGATTGTTTAGGAATAAAAGGGGTTTACTATACAGTCAGACTAGTAACATACAAACTATATGGCTGCTTGGAATGAGATATTCTTGTATCTATATTTTCTTTACTTAATAAACCCAAATCTGTTCATTAGGAAACTACACAAAATGCAACCCACTCATATAATTTGTGGATCAACTAATTAGATAAACTTACATGACTGAGCAAACATGATTGCACGCAAATATGAGCACGTCTAACAGTTGCTTAACTCCAGTACTGTATAGAAGCAGAACAGACCAATACAGTACATTAAACATGTCTCATTTAATGTGTTTTTGGTCTTACTGCTCCATCGTGCACCTCACATTACTTTATACCAACTGAAAAAAGGGCACGGTCCTCTGACACCCCACGGCATTTCCTTCTAAAAGCAGGACATACAGTACAGTACTGTATACAGTGACCGGGTACTGCCCTTTGGGGCGCCACTCTCCCTCTGGGTTACACAGATGGGCCCTTTAGTTCTTGAACTATTGTAGCTTCCAGCTTAGACTCTGTTCAAGTAGTGGGAATGCACTCGATTTGTTTTTCCTTTTAACTACAGTATGAGGTCATTGTTGCAAGCTATTCTCATGCAAGCTGTCAAACCACAGATGGAAAAAAATACCCCTGCTCTTTTCCGCTTTCTGTGCAGAATGGCACAGAATGGCGGGCTTTTTGATCCTCTGGGTATCGTTTATCTGTAGTCATGTCAGATGTCCATGTCTATAATTTGAGCACGGTTGAGGATTTTTGCTTTAATTCGGAGTTACACACTGTAAAAGCATTTACCTTAATACAACAATTGCATTGGTTATACAGTACAACACAGTATAGGTAAAGCATAAAACGTAATAGAATTTGTATTAATTCTTACGTGGTGGAAGGGTGAAATGAAGAATTTGTGGTCATATGGTATTATTTATTTATGAGACAGTCTACATAAAGTATTTTGTCCCCAGTATGAGTTTTAAACAAACGAAATTTGACTTTTTTATTATTCTTCAAGGCGTCTACTCACCTATGAGCTTGACCACTAGAGGGGGACAGTGGGCAAGTTTTAGACGGAGCTCAAAAACGTGCAAGAGAAACGCCTCAATAAAAAGTGCAGAAAAGGGGCGAAAATCAGAAACAGGAAATCGAGCAGGTCAAAGATAATTTTAAACCATCGTATTGAAGTGCGGCTTACAGCATTTTTTAGAATTCTACAACTGTGATTAAATTAAAAAAAAGACGTTAATAAAGGAATGTGGATTACCTTTTCCCAAGTCTCCTGTTATTTCCTCTGGTGATGAAAATACGAAAACAAATAACCCTGCTATGTGAGTTATCGACGGCAAGGACGAGCAGCACCTGAATTCTGCGTATTTTTACTTACAGTACAGACAAAACTTTTTTTTTTGCAAACTATCAGCATTTTAAAATGAAACACAACGCAGTGGTTTTTCTGTAACAGTTTTCTCAAATGTGTAGCGATTTAAATTGTGTCAGTCAGCTCTTGGAATTTGAATCATAGCTTTGATGGACATATTTAATACTTTGGTAGAAGGTATTTCCTAACACTATTTCCTGACAATTTTTGTTTGTTTTTACATATTTCAGCTACCGTGTGTGTCCTTAGTGACGTTGTACGATTATTTTCTACTCTGAGGGTCTAAGGATCCAGCTGTACAAGGGAGCAGGTACTGTGACTGGGCGCTGCGTTTGGGCATGTCAGCCTAAGATCAGTTTAGCGCTGACGCAGTGTGTATCATGTAATTAAGGGCCATACAGTACTGTATGTGTACAGTAGGGAAACAACTGCTAGATAATGGCTGTCACACATAACCCAGGTGGGTGCAGCACTTCAGTTTTGGATAATGTGGCTGCCTCCTACACATAAAGTACAGTAGCTCCAGATTGTTTGGGATGAAAAAGCACTATACAGTACAAAGGCAAGAAATTGTCATCATTATTATTGTGAAGTTCTTGCAAGCTCAGTAGTGCTTTGCTGTTTAGGATGAATAAATAAGGGACGTTTTCCACGTTTATCTGCGATCAAGCCCTGTTATCACATTGATATTCCTTTAAGAAACACCTTGTATAACCAGAACTCCACAACACAGTTTTCAAGTTTTAGAAGGTTTGTTTTTTTGAAGAGACAGTGGCCTATCTCCATAAAAATACTTCTACGCAATGAGAAAAGAAGGAAAAAAAACAACTCTCTAAGCTAACAGAAAAAAAAGCAAGTGGTACAGTAGGTGCCAGTGTGGGTTGGAGATTATGCAAAAACATGGAGGAAAAAGTCAAAATGATTTTTGTCCTCAAACCCCCTATGCATACAAGGAAAAATTACTCATTAATGTCATCCCCTTGAAAAATGCACAGAATATTTTAGCGCCCTCACCAGGCGGCGATGGGACTTTGATCAATGGTCTTGACCGTTTTCCACTCATCCTTGTTGGTTTGGGGAACACTTCAAATTCCGATGTCCAGAGAGGTTCAGATATACAGTAGATCGCGAAAATGTTCAGTTGACACTACAGGTAGCATTCACACACTACTTAGACAATTTTTAATCTCAGAGCCCGATTTTGGGGCTCAGGTCATGCTTAGGACAAATTATTTTTTGCTCTTTTCTGAAATTGTTTTTATGCGAAACTCTGGAGCCTGGATGGAGCTGTGCACAGAATGGTAATTTTATTTTAAAACTGAGTCGGTCAAATCTAAAGTTGAAACCAAGCATTTTTTAACTTCATTCAAGTGCAAGAGCTTTGATCAATGGTCTTGACTGTTTCTCACTCATCCTTTTTGGTTTGGGGAACATTTCAAAATCTGATGCCCAGTGAGATTCAGATATATGGTACTGTAGATCGAGGAAATGCTCAGTTGACACCCCAGGTAGGGTTAGGGTTAGTATTCACACACTACTTTGACAATTTTTAACCTTAGAGCCTGTTTTTGAGGCCCAAGTCATCTTTAGGACGAATTATTTTTTGCTCTTATCTGAAATTGTTTTGTTCAGAAACTGGGGCCAGGATGGCTCAGTGCACCGCGGTGTATTTTTATTCAAAAACTGCGTCGGTCAGATCAAAACTTGAATACTTTAGTTCAACTTTAGTTAATACATTATTAAGAGCTTTTATCAATGGCCTTGATTGTTTCCCACAATTTAATTGTTTCGATTTGAAAGTTGAATCCAAGCATATTGAATCTCTTTCACTTGCAAGAGCGTTTATCTGTGGTCTTGATTGTTTCCCACTTATCCTTTTTGGTTTGGGGAAAAGGTCCGGAGAGGCTCAGATATACAGTGAGTCTACAGGTTTTGTACAGATGAGAATATGAATCAAACAAAGTCAAACGGAAAACCAAAAAGAAAAGAAATTGGGTCCAGTGAAAGAAACTCTAGTTTCTGGCTACTCTGGTTATATAATCTCCTCTAACTTCTTCTTTTATATATCTACTGTACTGTACATTATTATCTGATAAAAATCAGACTGGGCCATGAAAAACAGTGGAAATAAAGGCCCAGATTCAACCCCCACTACTACTTCCTTGCTCTTTGACACTGGAGTGTCTTGTAGTCTACAACTGCCTTTTCAGTTTGTGATAATTGCATTTTGTGAAGTATTAATTGATAACACGTCTTTGCCTTCATCCAAGAAGTCAGCCTTTTACAGGCTCATATGTAGCTAACCGATGCCATGGAAAATTGCACCATCAATTTACAGTGTCGAAACCCCAGTGCAAGACATCTACTGAAACCACTTCCCCTCTGTTCCTGTTGTCTTTCATTAATCATGATCTCCAATTCAAACCTCTGTGAATTGTCAAACCTTTCTAATCTTGACTTTGCCTCTATTGCAAGTCACATATTTTCCACCCACAAAATACATATACAAGTGAATGTGCCTCATACTTTTCTTGTACATTTGCACACAGAGCTTGTAAACATTTCTCTATTGTAGAAGCTGCAGCCATGCTGCTAGGTATTTGATGTTACACAAGGCTCAGGCCTGGACACCTTATCCCACATCGTAAATATTTGTTTTATACAGTATACAATATATAGTTATTTTTATCTATTGTTTAATTATTTGTATTATTTGAAATAAAATGCAAACTTGAGTCCTTTCAGAACACACAACATCACTTGCAAGTACTATAGTACGACAGACTCTAGTCTCTAGAGCCTGTCATCAGTGACCAAATGGACACACAACATTACAATAAGTGTTTGGCAATTAACACGAGTGCCGAATGGATGGTATTTAACAGGATGCCAAAAAACAAGACAATAACAATCCCAAGGACAATTAACTTTACAAGCCTGAAAGGCATAAAAGACATAATAATATCCTACAACCCAGCCAAGGGCTAACAACTCTCTTTCCCCACACCTTCAAGAGTCAAAAACTATTCCTAATAATAATAATTAAACATTTTCTAAATTAAAATTTAAAAAAATGCAGTTTACCATGGCTCTATGGCTTTAGACATGCAAATACTAAAATGCAATGAAGCAAATAAATCGCAAAATCAATGAGTCATTTCATTTCTGTTCATATTTAAAGAACATACTTGGTCTTATAAATAAATTACAAACAAGAAGGAGGCCCTTACAATGAATCCATTTATGTCTTGAAGAAATCTAGAGCATGACCTTTGACATTATGGGTTGTCAAGGTCTCCTGATTCCAGACTCTAACAACCCTTGGGTGAACTAGGTTACTCCTGGTCTGAGTTGTACTGTAAAAGCCCTTTCCCATCGTTTCCATTTGCACCCACTGGTTCACTGCTGGTTCTGAAGAAGTGCAATGATTTTGTCTGTGCCATTAAGGAATTTGAAACCTTGAAGGCTTTATAATATGGTGCTCAATAGACCTTACAAACTTCCATTAGCACATTTTATGAGTAAAAAGGTTAGTTTAATGACATGTTTAATAGTATTTATTTTGATTCTTCCCTGTTTATGCACTTATAAATGTGTATCTATGCTAATCAATTCTGCTGTTAGGCTTTCTATGTGAATTCTTACAGAGAATAATGAATTTCTGCTTCAAATGCCTTAAGTCCATCATGCATAAATATGGCAGTTGAAATATGAATATAACCTTTTCATTTTATGAAATGTATTTGCAGTTGAAACATACAGTACCAATGCTACAGACAAAGAGGATATTTTTTAATACAGTAACAAAACATGAAACATTACTTGTCAGAAGGTGAAATACATATTTCAACAAGTATCACTTGCAAATAATCTTTTTCTGCTTCTACTGTTTCAAATAATGGCACAGTTCTCATGTTGTAACTCAGACGTTATTACACTATTTGTCATCAATAAAACTATTTAAATTTGCTCTTATGAAGAGTGCTTAAAATCCTGCAAACAGTTTATGTTCAGTATATAACTTTCTTTATCTAGTTTAAACATAATTGTTTGATTGTATTTTCCATATTATTATATTCTACTGAAGGTGCAAACTGCCTCATACGAGCCACCATGAAATGTTTTCTAGAAATCGCACTAATTACAGTTTTTTACAAAAACATTATCGTAAGCCACTACTGTAGATTTATTCCCTTTGTACTTCAGTTTTAATGTTTACAGGAGTTTACACATTTTCAGTTGTCTAAAAGACCTCTCTAATCTTTAATAAAGAATATCCGTGTTCAATTTATGTTCTTTACTGTGATGTTAGAATAGACGTGGAAGATACTGCTGCCACAGTATAGAGTAGTTTTTCCAGACTACCCATTTACAGGATGTGTTAAAATGTCTTTAAATAATGTTCAACATTTAACAACACACCCGTTGTGCAAGATGTAAAACAGACAGGTTCTGTGATTGTTGTTTGTTTCCAACACTCTAAGTATCTTGTTAGACTATTACTACAGACAGCCTTATTTTATTTGCCCTTGCATGATAAAAATCCTATAATTAAGCAGTCTGAGCACATAACCACTTACAGTACAAATGCAATACATATTCATCTGTATTTATTGTATTTATTGGTTTAATAAATAGCACACAAGGAAATGAGAGACCGAAGGGGCCTTGGTAGTTTATATGCTAGTGTTGCCACCAGATGAATGTTAAAGGATGACAAGGAATACTTAGTGTATTGACTTTATTTAGCTTTTTCTGTTCATTAATTTTCAAACCTGAGGTTCTGGCTGGAGAGCCATTGCAGTTATTTATTACATGTGACAGGAGTGATATGCATTCTGGGTAGAGATATTGCATGCCGGTGAAGTGAAATTAAGAAGAATTGACTGTCCAATGCAGCTCCATTATGAAGATTTACAGCTTTCTACAAGGTACCAGGAATGTGCAGAGGCAAAATCACACAGCATGTGGCTTACCAGTGGTGAAAAGCTAAAAGAGCTGTTAAATCAATCATCCTTTTCCTCTGGTAATCTAGTGTATTGAGGATATTCTTGTGGGGCTGACCAAGCAGTATATTTTGAATCAGAAATGAAAGAGACACAGAGATAGAGAGTACGGAAATAAACAACTGTGCAGAACATGGTAATCTATAACCACAGTGTTTCTAAATAAACAGTGAATTTGTAGGGATTAAAGTACAGAGTTATTCTGTCTTTCTGGATTCTCTAAACAGCTGACATTGGTGATCTGATCACCAATCAAAATTATTATAAAAGTATCCTAATGAGTGATGAATGTTCTTTTTTTAAAACGGTTTGAGTTATTTTTCAATTTTCACCCCTATTTTACTATTTTTAAAAAATGGTTGGAAAGGTCTATTGAGCACCATATTATAAACCCTATTTTTGGTATTATCTTTAATAAAGAAACGCCTCAAAATTTGATATTCAATTTTGAAGAACAGTTATTTACAGATGACAACATGCAAAGGAACATAGTCACCTGAATTGCAGTATACAATTGCGTTTGAGTACATTCTTTTTTAGTTCAAATTAAATAAAACATTTCACAAAGCTTTCTTGATCCCACCAGACTCAAAATTTGTTTGGGCCCAGTTTTGATACATAAATAAAGCAGCAGAAAGTCAAAATTGAAGAAAGAGACATTTAAAAAAGAATGATTTGGCACAAAATAATAGCTTTGGGCATTTTCAGAACGGCAGAAAGAACAAAAGGCTAAATGCTGTCAATCCCTGTCACTTTCAAATATGCAGTGGCAAACTAATAAAAATTTTCGGGTCAACATGACTGAGAACAGAATCGCATGCATTCAAATGACATTTAGCTGCCAAGGGAGGGTGAAATATAATAGAGCAATGATAACACAATTCACATACCTTAATCATAGTCATTACAGGAAACAATTTGAAACACAATGTGCAGAGTAAAAACAAGAATTCTAAAATAGTTTTAATTTTTTTTTAATAGTTAAATAGTTTTATATTTCTTTCAAAAAATGAATACTTTAGATACATATTATCACTAGCATAACTTGAAACTTTCTGATGTATATAAATTATTGTATATATAAATTGTACAAATACAACATATACATTTTATATAGATATTAAATTTATAAATCTAAATCTGAATGAATAGTTGCATTGTCATTTATCAATAATGACGTATGTACTGTACAGGCTGGATCAGTTAGAAGATGAAATGCAACAGAGTTTCATCTAAAACACCCTGTAACCATTATTTGAATACTGTACATCAGAACCGAGGGTTTCTTACAGGAAAGGAAAAACTTCATAGACCCTTACATAGACCTAGTTGCATTTCTATTGTGTGCACTCCAGATGTACCTGTCCTGTTTATCATCCCTCCTCAAGAGGGCGCTCCGACCTTTAATTATTAGTTTCATTATAACGTGCGCCTTTCTCCTGTTTAACCTATATACATTCTGTGCCTCCTACGCTCTGGGCTCACCCCTGAACGATGGACGCCCGGAAGTCCACCTACCAGTGGGTCCAGGAGAGACCCGACGGCATGGGCTTCATCACAGCGTACTGGCCATCTGGGTCCTCGGAGCGCCTGGCTTCGTCATCGTGTTTCTAGCTTCACTGTTCCTGTTCCTGTTCCAGTTCCGACCTGGTTCCTGTTTTTAACTGTTTGTCTTGGATCGATCTCCAGGCTACCTGGACTTTGGACTGCGCCCTTTTTTTCCCTTTTGGACTCCCACCGGACTTGTTCGCCTGCGCTCCCCCTTGCACCCGGATCACTGTTGGCAACGCCCCCTGTCTGTCCTCCCATCCACTCCCCTCCGTGTTTTTCCTGTAGCCCTTCTCCAGTCTCTTCCAGATTAAACCGTCTGCATAGGGTCCTAAATACGCACTACACGGGAGTCAGGACCGGCTCCCGTAACAGCACCAAAACTGAACAAGGTATTAAAAACACTATCTGCAGTAAATGTGTTCAGAAGTTCAGTTTGAGCTCTAGGGCCAGAGCTTTCCGAGCTGGAGCAGGGGTCCAGTCTACGTTCGGCCAACGAATGGGACCCACCAAAGGATAATGCAATGCCAAAGACCGGCATGCTTTAATGGGCTGCATTTCTCCATGGTTGAGCACGAGAAAGAGGACCTGGGGGTGATATTGTTTCATGATTCTCAGAGAGTGATGAACCAATTCTTTAGTCAGCACCTAACTCTCCTAAATGGCAGTCAAGAGCTCGTTGATTTTTAACCGATGGAGGATCAGGCAGTCACTTTGAACGTACCATGCTACCAGTTCATATCACAAATGACTAAACACGCTCTTATTACACAATCTGGATTCTTAACTCTCATTTTAAAACCACCTTTTTGGGCAAAAGCAAGTATTTTGGGAATTTTTTTGCTCTGAATGTTTCCAGAAACGAGATTTGCAACCCACATAAGAATGCACGGCACAGCTGAGGATGAGAATTGTGGCATATTTCATTTCCTTTTTATCCACGGGGGGGGGGGGGTTCTACGCCACTCCCCTTGAAACCTAAGGGATGCAATCACTGGTGTGGTTTATTTTAATTTGTTTCGAACATGAATACAATTTAAAATGAGTCTTATAGACCTCTCCACTTAGCTTGTACCACAACATCACAGTACAAGACAAGTTAAATAAAAATGCTACAGATATTTCTGAGAGCAACCAGCAATTCCTTTTTAATGTTCTGTGAGGGTATTTCTTATTTAGCTTTATTGACACAAAGCCTTACCTGTGTTGACTGTCTAACTGTAATGTTACAAAAAAAATGCTTGTTCCTACTTTGGCATACCTCAGTCCCAGATTTTAAATATTTTGTCCAAAATTATTTTTTAAACTTACTTCAGTGAAATAAATAAATAAATAAAACAATATACAGTACATTACTCATTGCTGTTCAAAGAGTGAGGGTTACAAAACATTCCTCTCTTTGAGGATGAGGGTTAAGGGTGATATATAAAATTAGCAATGTACGGTAACTGTAATATTAAATACAGAATACTTAAATGTTTCCCCACATTTTTTGTTGTTTTCAAACTATTTACATCCTGGAGGGATGTAAAATAATTTGTACATTTAAATATTCAGTTTTTTGAGACACCATTATATAAAGCAAAAAAAAAACTTCATTCCATCTAGTTACAGTATGTAGTGTACAGTACATGTGTTCTGGTTTTATAATTAAATTGGTTGAATATTCTGGTCTCGCCCTATGATGACACATTTATAAGTTAGATGAATCTGCGTCAATTGTTTCACAATTTTACTATGTATACTTGTTTATCAAGCTGTCTATTAAAACTTTGTAATGTATATTACTGAACACAGCTTAGGGAGTATACCTGCAGATCATGACAAGAACTGAAAACTACACATCTACTTTCTGTGGTGAGGAAAAAGTGTAAGAAAACTGTTCTTATTTGTTTAAATTGGAGACAGTCTCATTATGTTCTGGCCTGGGTATTTCAATTTGTGGTGATGGAAGGAAATGGGCACTGCATAGAAAGTGGAGAACAAGACTTTATTTGGATTATTTTCTTTTTATCTCTGAAATTGCCTGTGTATTGCAATCGGTTAAGTAGTAATAAATACTGATGTCAATGTGTGGTGTCTCCGAGCCTGGACTTTTTAACCTGACAGGCTCCCTGATCCTAGATGTATGAATTGATTCATCTGGCGAGGAAGTACTTACGACCAGAAACCTTAACCACTTCAATCACAGCCATCATGTTGTAAACGTTGTTTTTTGGGTCATCTTATGTGGAGTGTTCCACTCTAGAATAAAAGCCTATAAATCTCGGAAGTCTCCAAATAACAAACACTTTGGTTAAAAGGCAGAACTGTTAAAAATCTCCTCCGCATGCTGTGCCTTGACAAGATCTAATGAGCTGCAGCCAGGAACACATTGATGGTCACCCAGGAAGGGAAAAGCAGCCAAGGGAATGGAGAAACAAAGGCTTCTAATCCCAGACAAGAGTACCAGACTCATCGCTGCAGGGAGGTTGGCCCCACCTCTCGGAACAGCATGGTATACAAACATATTACTTTCTTAATCATGAAGGGACAGACCCCCTATCCTCAGCTGAGTCATGACAATTCATCAGACTTTGATTACGGCTTCGCCAGACTCAAGCAGCCTGTCATTTGTCCCTCAGAAGCCGATGCATTCTCATATTTAACCCCGACAACATTTTTCACACATCTTGGATTGTGTAGACTGAGACTGCAAAAGGTCCCCTGAGGATGGTAATGGGTTCTGCAGATCATCTGGACCAACCGGTCCCTGGGGTTCTGCAGATCCTCTGGGACTTCACCCCAGGTCCCCGTAAGATGAGAAAATACCCAAACACCCAGGACCCAGTAACTCTCAAACTGGTTCTTCCCACAAAAAGGGTGGAATCTCATCTCTGAATCTGACCCTGGTATTCAATTCAATATTTTATCGCCATGTCAAAAAAACTGTTTGGAATTTAGCCCAGTGCATCCCAGATAAAAACAAAAAAACACTTATTACACAAACAATGTACATATTGTTCAATCAGTCACACCCTAATGGGATCCTAACTGTGCACATAAGAGGGATGAAAACTATAATCCTGACCATTTTACCCATTATATAGACAAAGAGGAGAGATAATCAGCCACCCCATTCAAAGAGAAGCCTGCTTTCACTACTCCAGCAGGTGTGCTCGAGTATACTGGGCATTGCAATGTGATTGCATTTTTAGCCACTTGGATGATTGTTTGTAGACTCAAATTGAACAGACACCATAAGCACTGTCAGGGAAATGTCATCGAAGGTCATTATATTCTTGTCCATTTGCAGTAATCAGGAGAAAACATGGCTACCCTGGAGAAAACTACAAATACCATGACTCCTTTCCCTGGCAGTCAGCAGACTCAGCCCTGTGTCATATGATTTTTCCAGACAGTATAGAAACAGAACCTCCTTAAAGGCCAACCATGTAACCCATTTAGCAAAAATACCCCCCTGGCCATGAGAAATCACATTATATTATATCAGCTAAAAACACTACTTACCGTCTCACTTGCTATTATTTTACGATTACTTTGCCTTTACCTCGATGCAAACTAATTTACTTACTGTGCACGTTGAGATCACCTTTCAAGGATTAAATTGTTCCTTGATTTTATTTAACACTATTGTGTTTTTTTTCCCTTATGACTTTTGTCTTTTTGCTCTTATCACCTCTTTTAGAAGCTTTCAGAACATTGTTACTCTTGCTACAGTAATTACAGTTATTTTCAACCTATCTAAAATAATTTAGATATCATTCCTTTTTTAACAGAATAGACCTTATCACAATTGTAAGAGAAGGCTGGGTGGAAAATCATGTATCCTTATAATGCCTGTAACTGTCTTACCTAAATTCACTTTTCTTAGCTTTTCATGAGTAATTGATAGAATTACATAACAGGAAGTAACAGTGAACTAAACAATGGAGTTCACTGACAAGCACCCTTTACTTCACTGCGTAATGTAGCTTGGCAGGGGTTTCCAAATTTCCCAGGGGCTCATGCCAGCTCAAATAATATGAATCTGAGGTTTGCTGTACTTTACATATCAGCAGAAAGGACACGAATACTGGCAAAGGAGAATCTTTTTTGACAGGAAACTCTGTCCCCAGTTTTGCTTTTAATGAATGAAACATAAAAAGGATGTGTAGCATTATTATCTCTCAGAGCAGGAACAGGCAAGGCAGCTCTGGTCCCTGGAGGGTTGCAGGGTCCTTTGAATTTCAGTCAGGAGAATGTTAGAAAGGTTACAATCCATAGGACACCATTTTACTCATGTAGAGCTGACCCTCTTGGTAGTTAGTAGTTAACTGAGCCAAAGACCTCATACAGCCATTCCCTGAAAGAAAGCAGGGTATGGCTTCAACAACATGGCCGGGCAGCTTGTTCCACATTTCCACAACTCTTTGGATAAAGACAATCCAAAGATTTACTCAGTTCATGTATTATATCAGTTTTACATACACCCCTATGTAGTTTCTACTATTCAAGAGATTTTTGTAGAGACTGTTAAATTGTAGAATTTACAATAGGACAATTTGACAATAGGACATGTATGTTATTAAAAAAAACATTATTTATATTGTCTTTTCCAAGGGATTTATATCCGGTTCACACTATTATGATTTATTTTATTTATATACAGTATACCTGTACATCTTACAAGCTCTGTCTAACCAATGTTTCTTTTTTAAAACATCTAAAGGCAAGGGGTTTAAAAGAACAAATTAAGCTGAGTAAAAAAATAATTTTGAGAAGATGAAACAACACGCTGAATTTTGAATTCTTATTAGTTATTAGTCTACTTCATGATAAATATTGCAATTGCCAAGTCTGCATACAAAAATACAGAACAAAACAACTTTGGACAGAATTATGCAGCATGTTATTACAATTCATATTGTTAAGTGACAGATTGGCTGCTGTTACTAATAGTTTTCATCACAAATTTTCTTTAAATTCAGTACCGAAGGGCATTACAGCCGGCAGTATGAGCATGTTTGCTTGTAACATTTGCTGTGTTCAAACAAATGTACCTTTTCACAACAATGTATCAAAAACCTATGCATGTGTGTTTTTAGAAAAATATAGAATATTGATTGTGAATACATGGTAAATGCCTTGGTATGTTTTTAAGATGACTGACTGTGACACACTGGAGTGACTGAATGTTGCATCAGCACTAAATTACCTCATCGGTGAGATTTTATTGGGTACATGTGATGTGATGATCTAACCTGTTGAATGTCAAGCCAGGTAACAATCAAGAGAGAAAATGTAGTAATTTCCAATCTGGTAAGACATTACAGCAAAGCACAGGCTGTCAGTGATAGGCCATGATCTGGGAGACCACGAGTCCTGACACTTCACCAGGATTGGCGAGATGGAAATGTAATGTTCCCTTTGGGAGTTTTTAGTCCCTGCAGAACTCCACTTGTCATTGTTGATGTAATCCTCTCTGCACAGTGCTTCACTGCTCAAGTCCTGAGACTTGCCCGTCCTGATGTCTAAGCCACATTCTCCTGCTGCTAGTATGGCCACATCTTTCTTACGAAATCGGAATGTGATAGTAATCGGATGCCCTTGGATGCCCTGATTTCCAGACTGGGGTCTCATTAAGCATTGATGGGTGACACGCGGCATCCAGGGTCAGTGAATAGACACATGAATATCTAGGCTCTACAAGAGGAGTAGGACAGAATCCCCGAGGGACAGCATCTACAACCTGTTGCAAAGCATGCACTGCAGATGTACAGCTACCATGGGTTTCAGCAGTGGCCACGCACCCTATAGGTGTCACGGACGTCCAAAGAGACAAACCATGGGGAGCAGGAGAGCGGAAAAAGACCCATATGCTTAGCGGCGAGACGGGAAAAAGGCCCGGGCTCATTAGTGCAAAGAGTTCAGGAATGCCGTATAGAAACCTATGCCCTCAGGGAGTGGACGTGGGGCGCCCTGGTGCTAGGCGGGTCTCAGGACATCCGAACATCAATGCTGAGAGAGGACAGAGTGCAAGACCCAGAAATACATAGCCCAAGGGAAAGAGAGGGACAGGAAGGACAGCAGACCGGAAACTAGGGACAGGACAGAGAAGGAGCGCCCCCTAGCTGCAGAGGGCATGACAATAG